GAAAAACAACAACAACAACAACAACAACAACAACAACAACAACAACAACAACAACAACAACAACAACAACAACAACAACAACAGCAACAAGAAACCTGAAAGGGTTCAGCTAGTGTCCCATGGTCCCTGAATTCAGTCCTCAAAGAAGTGATCTCCTCTACTCGTCTGCTCAGATTCAGAGTTGTGTCCGTGTGGTTATCCCACAGCCAAGACCTGCCAACACAGAAAAGGTAGAAAAGGTAACAGTAAAGTATCACAGCCAGCGGTCTCTTTTTTGTTTTGTTTTTGTAAAGTGCTTTACGGCGCTCGCAACTGCATAAGGTCATATGAGCGCGCGGGACACACCTAATATTTTCAGCTGGTAGGAAATTTTGAATTTTGCCCGGGTGGCGGCCGAAGCCTACTCTTTTCGATTTTAGACCACCAAGAAATCTTTAACGTGCGCAACTTGCACATGGGCCCTCCGAGATTTTTTGCCCTTGTCCGAGAAGGCTAGGTGTAGATCTTTCCTACCAGAAGATCAGGGGTGTGGCTGAAAGACAGCAGTAAGAAGAAGCGAAGGAGTACCAGTAGAAAGGCTGCAGAAAGAACCAGGAGCCCAGAAGAAGGGGCAAAGGAGGTGAGGGGGTGATGGCAGAAAGAGGAGACGAAAGCAGACGACAGAACATTGCTAGAGAGCAGGAAATGAGGTGAAACGAGACAAATTTAGAGAAGAAATTTTTTCGGTCGCTACCCGAATTCGAACCCGGGACCTTTTGAATGAGAGGCCAACACCTTAACCTCTAGGCCACGAGAGCCCCAGCGGTCTCTAGTTACTGTAAATATTTAACAACTTTAAGGCATTCGCAATACAATTTAGCAATGTACAATGTACGTGTCGTAGATTAGAGGTGTAATTATAGAGCTACACACAGAGAAAAGAACAAGAAGATGCAAGGATGGAAGATGCTAGACTGGGAAGAAGGAACACTCCACACTAGAGCACGCGCCAAACACCTCGCGTGTTCGTGTAAGACAGAGCTGCAAAGTGGGTGGTTGGCGGGTGCTCTGGTGTGGTTCGCTTCGTCTTTCCTATCGAACATCTATCGTCTTTATCACCCTTCCTTCTTTTTTGTGTTTGTTACTCTCTTGTAACACCTCTAATATTCGGCACTTATTTGACCTTATTGTGTTGCAAGTGCCGTAAAACTCTTACTAAAACTAAACCTTAAAAGTTGCAAACCCACACTGACCCCCACGGTGACACCAGGATCAGTACATGAGGTCAAAAGGACGTGGAAAATGGGGGCTATACTTTATTTTGAACTGAATTACACCGTTTACCATCTTTTTTTTAAAATGCAAGAGTAATCCTAATGAAGGTGGTCCCATGCTACTGAGCTTTGATCTTTCTTCCTTTTTTTTTGGGGGGGGGGGGGGGTATTGTGTAAAGAGAAGTACATCGACGTAGCAACTCTGTCATTTAGAGTTGGGAAAAAGTAAGAAAATGGGAAAGTAAAGAAGTAAGACCAACCAGTAGCACCCCGACCCACCAACGTTAAGAGACGGAGGCGCGAAAGAGAAGTGGGCAGTAGTAAATAAGGAGAAAACGTGCCACGCTGGTGCCAAGGTATTGTGGCACATGGACGGGACCCCGTCAGGAGAAAGGTTGTATACCCTTTTGTTGAGAGAGAGGGGGTCATTTACTTAATTTTATCTCCAAGTTTCGTTCAAGGCGTCTTAGCTACTTTTTAAAGTATAGAAAGTATAGAAGCAAGAGAAATAAAGGAAGAAAGAGAGAGAGGGAGAGAGAGAGACAGAGAGAGAGAGAGA